TTTTTTTGAGACAGGGCTTCATTCTGTTGCCCAGGCTGAAGTGCAGTGGCACAATCAGAGCTCACTGCAGCCTCCATTTCCCAGGTTCAAGTGATCCTCCCATCTCGGCCTCCCTGAGTGTTGGGATTATGGGTGTGAGCTACTACTGCTCCTGGCCCCGGATCCCAATCTCTATAAAAACTAAGCACATACTTTATAAGAAGGATTTCTCTCATATAGCATATTTATAAAAGTTGATTGGTTGTTGAAATGACATCATCTTTTGTTTAATGTTCTGGTCTCACCAGAGCCTTTATAACGTGTTGAACCTTCTTGCCCAGCCAATCAGATGGAGGAGTTTGCTGTGGAGTACAAGATCATCAACCCCAAGGCTATCACGATGGGGCAGCTGTATGGGTGCTTTGACCAAGTGAGCCACGAGTGGACGGATGGTGTCCTTGCCAATGCTTTCCGGGAGCAAGCGTCTTCACTCTCTGATGATCGCAAGTGGATTATCTTTGATGGGCCGGTGGATGCTGTCTGGATTGAAAATATGAACACTGTTCTGGATGACAATAAAAAGGTAAGTATTGAGCCTGATATCACTTTTCCATGAGTGAGACATAAACTCTTTTATTGAAGTAAGCGACTGATCAAAACTATATAGAGACATACATGTATTGCACTAAGAGTAAATGCCCCACAGGAGAATAATAGTAATGAGTTCATGAATTATGCTCTGTTTGTACTTGTAGTTGGTAAGCTAAACATGTTTAGAGACCATGTTGAATAGTAAGCCTTAGTGCTGGCATTGGTTTGGACTCCTAGCTCTGCAACTGAGCTGCGTTTTACTGAGCAAGTCGCATAACTTCTCTGAATCTCAGTTTTCTCATTTGTAGAAAGGTAGTAATAAAATGAGGTTGTTGATACTTAAATGAGATTGCACATACATAGTACCTACGGGATATGTTTTGGTTAACTATTGCTATGCAACAAACCACCCTAATACTTAATGGCTTAAAACAACCATTTCTTTTCCTCATGATTTTGTGGGCTGGGAATTTTCAAAGGGCTCAGCTGGCCGGTTGGTCTCTCTTTTGATGTCAGTTCAGACAGCTCAGGTTAGAAAATCTGCATTCAAGATGGCGTCTTCACTCAATGCCTGGTGGCACAATCACATTCGGCCCCTCTTTCTCTCTCTCTTTTTCTTTCTCTCTAAAAATAATACCTCCTCTTCCAGGCCACTTCTCATGGCTTGGGCTTTTCACTTGGTGGTGTCTTGGTAGTGGCACTACTTATGCGGTGGGTGATTTCCAAGAGTCAGGAAGTGGAAGTTTCCAAGATATTAAGGGCTATGCTTAAAACTGATAAGCATCACTTTTTCTGCATTCTGTTGGTCAAGGAAGTCGCAAGTCCTGACCAGGAAGTGGAAAAATAGACTTCACCTCTTGATGGAGGCAGACAAGTCACATTGCAAAAGTGCATACGGACTGGGCCCTGTAGGCTCACACCTGTAATCCCAGAGGCTGAGACAGGAGATTGCTCGAGCCCAGGAGTTCGAGACCAGTATGAGCAACATAGTAAGCCATCTCTACAAAAAAATAATTTTTTTTAATTAACTGGGCATGGTGGTGAGTTCATGTAGTCCCAGCTATTCAAGAGGCTGAGGTGGGAGGATCACTTGAGTCTGGAAGTCAATGCTACTGTGAGCCTTCATTGTGCCACTGTGCTCTAACCTGAGCAACAGAGAAAGACCCTGTCTCAAAAAAAAAAAAAAAAAAAAGGAGCATATGGGATGGAATTTATGTAACTTGCCCATTACAACACAGCTCAATAGTAGAGTTAGGAGTCCAGAGCTCAATAGTAGAGTTAGGAGTCCAAACAGATGCCTGCACCTTTGGGAAATACAGCAATCTTTGGAAAATACCACCAATCTTTGGAAAAATAAGTAGAGTGGTACCACAATAAGTATAGCACCACGGTATGTATGGTGGCTAAAAGAGCTTGGACTCTGGAGCCAGACAGCTTGGGTTCAAATCCTGGCCTTGCCACTTTCCCACTATGTAACCTCAGACAAGCTATTTAGTCTGTTGAAGCCCCAATTTCATCATCTGTAAAGTAG